TTCGACTTCTTGCCCCACAAATTTAGGGCAGGGCCACGGGGACGGCTCCGGGCAGGTACGAGGAAGAGTCCAGCGCGCCCACACACACACACAGCCGCACGACACTGCAAACTCGAGTGTGTGTGAATATATCGCACACGTGTCGGTGTGTGTGGTGCCCATTAGTACACTTAAATGGAGTAAAGGTGTGAGTTTGAATTTTTTCCTCTGAAATTCACACACTTCTACCTTCCAAATGTACGAATATCAACCACGCACCTACAAGTGTGCGGCATTCACACACTTGGGTTCCTAGTGCAGTCGCTCACCTTACCGTGCTCGCGCACAAACGGCAACACTTAATATACTATTAACGACGAAATTAAATATTCCAATCCACCTCCGCACACACCCGCAAAAACCTTACAATTTAGGCGTGAATAGACAATGATCACTTACGTACCGTTTTTAGAAACGACGTTTGCGAAGAGCCGCGTGGAGAAACAATGATGAGCCCTGCAAGAAACAAAAGATGAGAAAAGGGTTAACGATCTTTTCACGCACCCTCTAATTGGAAATTTCAGGGGTCTCTCTTTCTCATATGAGTGTGTGTGAGTGTGTGTGTGCCTGTGTGAGGATGTGTGCGCGCGCTTTCAGCGAGGAGAGTTGGGGCGGAGCAGAGGGCAAGGTGGCGGGGGTGCGGGAGCGAGACGGGTCGGAGGGTGGTGGAGGGGTCCTAGTATAGCTCGCAGGACCACAGGACGTCATCTCGAGCTTGTTTTATGGGAGCTAATAAAAGTACTCCTCCCGCGTTATATCGTGCGGATTATCGGTCGAGGTGTGCCGGCCAACATTGTATCTCTCAGCCCCCCTCACCCTGTATCTGTCTCTCGCTCTCTTTCTCTCGTCCATCCACAAGTAGGGTACAGTCAGCTCTCTTTGCCCAACGTCCCACCCCTCGCATTTATACGACAATCAAAAGACTAAACAGACAAAAAATAATAACGAATCTTGCCGAAAACAAATGGTTTTCAGTTTTAGCTCCATAGCCGACTCCACTCTCCCTATATTTGCAGACTGCTGAGTATTATCCATCCACCTCATCGAGGCCGACTAATCCAATGACGGAAGTACGGCTGCTGCCGCATCGCGATGCAGAGAGCGGCGGGAGAGAGGGGAAAGGGGCGAGGGGGCGAGGGGCAGGAAAAGTGGAAATAACGAGAAGCCGCCCGGAAGAGCCGCCCCCGTAACTCAGCGGGACCCGGCGCCCAGCTGCGTTGCTTTTACCGCCGCCCTACGGAGCGCGGCGCGGCGGGC